AGAAAACACTGAAAGAAGACACTGAACCCAAAGCTTTTTCAGTCCATTGATGATAAAACTTGATCACTCCTGGAAGTGAAATGCTTTTTATCTTTTTGCTTAATTCCAAAGTGAAAATTTGAAGACAGGCTTGAAGCTGGCCTGTTATAAAATGTGTGTAGTGCGATACTTCCACCCTTCACACATCCTCTGGCACAACAGCTGAGAAAACCTGCTCTGTGAGGAAAGAAAGCATCTTATCTGTGAGGACTCCATTTTAATTTAAGTTGTCTTCTTGTTGAGGAAGTGTACGTCTGTCCTGCCTAGGATCAGTTATTATTACCTATTATCCACGTGGACATAATTAATTGCAATTACATTTTATTCAGCACTTGATTTTGCAGCTGAATATTTAACTTCTTTTGAGCATGTATATGTGCCTGTGTGTGAACAATTTAAATGTACAGAGCATGGTCCTTGTTGGCTCTAGACAGATTTACAGCAAACTAAATAGTCTTCAGTAGTAGCTGTCTCGTCTTGTTTTTATGTCTGTGTAGATTTTTTGACTCATTGTTTGAAAAGAGGTGCCTCACAAATAAAGCAGAGCTTTTATTGTTTCAACTGTACCTGGTGTCACTAATAGCCTGTTGAAACAGAACACAGGTACAAGGACAATGCCAGTACGTGTCGTCATGAAACCTGTTCTTTAACTTTGTCATTTGAGTGTTGGATTTCTTTCTGACGACCTGAAACATGATCACCTCAAATTTCCAGTTTCCCAGAGGAGTTTTCAATACAAACACTTCAGCTGCTTCACTGTGTAACAAACAGTGGCTTATAGCTTTCTATGTGCACAAGCATGTGACAGGAAGTATAGTGGAGAGGCTGCAGATTTAAAAGAGGAGAGATGTTAGGCAAGAAGAGAAGTTTTGGTGACTTCTAAATAATCCAGTGGGAATGTAAACTGGACTCATCAGTCAGATATGACTGTGTTGATGCCTCCTCTGCATCCAGCAAGTTGGGCAATCGTGTCCCCTTTTATTTGTGAGGTAAAATCAGTAGAGTGGAAGAGTTCAATTGAGCCAAATTACTGAAGATTCACCGTGCGTGCACCATCGATGTCTGGACAGAGCTTCAAGGGGAGATAACGTGGTGGTGTGTGGAAAAAGACCTGTTTCTAGTTTAGTTAAACTGGTCAAACATCAGCGTGGACTTCTGTAGCCACTCCTTTCATACACACAGTAGCTATCTGTTTCCTGTGGTGAAGGCTTTGTGAGTACTGAGGATATTTCCTTCCTCCAGTTCATGACGTGAAGATGATCATAATGTCGGTGACAAAACTTCTCAAAGGCACAAGCTGCAAATGTGAGCGGAAGCTTTGGATTTGTTTCCCTGGAGGAAATCACACATTCCTACAACTCCCAACTCTTCACTCGAGGGCTTGAATCAAACAGCCCTGAGAGACTCTCTGTAGTGGAATGCATCTAATAACTTAACAACCATGCACATGTCGTCCCGCTAGAGGGTTGTGTGGTAGAAACCTAAAATTCTGGCTGGACGCTCACAGCTATTATCCGAGCTGATCATCTCATGACATTTCTTCTGCAGCGCCATGAAAGGATTCTTTCTTACAATCACTGAAGGTGATGTTGTGCTTCTGGATGACGGACTCTTATGCAGCCTTTTTTCAGAAATGTTTTTGTTGCTGGTTTCACCAAAAAGAGAGAAATTCACTCAGTGGAGAAGCAGATTTATCATCGGACCGAGTGATTGTTTTTTTCCACAGTTTCATGCACACACTTCATGTGCAAGTTTGATGTCTATCAACATTAGACGATATTTTTAATTGTTTAGAAAATGAAGGACATATATATTAGTAAAAGACAATGTTTTGCAACTTCATTTACAAGTTAATGAAATATAGGTCTTCAGTAGAATGTTTAATTAATAGTTTTTTTAAAATAATAATTTGGTTGTAAATAAATGTTAAATCACATTAGATATCTGTCTCACCAGAATAAATAACTGAAAAAATGTAGAATCAATCTAATCTCTCAGTAGCAGAAACTGCTAGATGATAAGATACCTCATTGGTGCCACTGTGGCTGGCACATACACAAATACACATAGACATAGACTTAAACATATATATATACATTAATATGATACTCCTGTTTGTGCACAGCTTCCCTGTTAAACAAATATATGGATTGAATAAATAATCCATACATTTGTGAACTAATCAAACATATCACGTTGGGAGATTAGTCTCTACCCTCCGTCCCTCCCGTCTCCTGCACAGTGGTGAGCACTAGAGCTGTAGACATTTCGATGCAGAGTCAGATTCATGTTGTTTTTAGCGATGTTGGGTTGCTGAATAATTATAACACTGCTGCTCCAGGATCAGGTAGACACTAATTAAAGCTCCTATGTCAGTCTCTGTCAGAGTCTGGTTCCTCTTCCCTCCCTCTGACCTGCACTCACGTTACACTTTAAAGGTTCAGTCTGTAAGATTTAGGTGAAAGGGATCTATTGGCAGAAAGTGAATATAAAATTTTTCTAGTGATTTTCTCACCAGTGATTTTCAACTAAATTGTACAAACTGTTGTTTTCTTTACCCTAAAACTGGCCCTTTATATTTAAATACTTTATATTTACATCTGGAGACGGTCCTCTCTACGGAGGCTGCCATGTTTTTACAGTACCCCTCTACTCTTGCATGTTTGGAAGAGGAGTGTGAGGTGAGAGGTGTCCAGCTGCAACATGCAACTTCACCACTAGATATCACTAAATTCTACACACTGAACCTTTAACAATAAACACCATCACTGGTTACAAGTTATTAGGACATTTACTTTGTGATGTTTGATTCACTCTATAGTTTATGAGATGCATGTTTAAATCTGCTACACAACACCAGACTTGATTTAACAGTATGTCATTGTTGCAGAGGAGCAACGCCCCATACATGTCTGTGCACAGCCCTGCACTGTGGTACATGTAAGTGTCACAGTAAAAAGGGAGGGCTTCAGTTAACGTGGTGACCTTGACTACACTAAAGAAGGAAGTAAAATCTAAAATCTACGAATAAAGAGTCATGTGCTGGTAAAGAAACCGACTGAATATGAAAATGAAAAGAAATAAAGATTAAAATGCTGCACATGTTCATGATACACTATAATGAAACTGTGTTAGAATAATCTCAATATGCTGTATAAACTAAGAGAATAGAACATGAGTCCAGATCATCATGTTATCCACAGCAGATGACCGTCTGCACACTGCTATTGTTGTTGCTGTTGTTTCACCATGATCCATGATCCAAAGCTAAGAAATTCCCAATTGGCAGATAACATGAAGCTTGTTTCCACCCACTGACAGAGCCGAGGCTGCTCAGCTGATTTGGTTTAGTTGTTAGCAACTGTGCTAATCTCAAGACTCAAGCTATTTCTGTCTCAGTGGAAAAATACAGCAGGGAAGTGGTTGGCTATATCTTGGACCTTTGACAGAGCCAAATAGTTTTTTTCCAGCATGGTGCGCAGAGCAGCGCGACAATAGCCAGGACCACAGAGGAGCCAAAGGAAAACAAAGCTGCTTGTCTCGTTTTTCCCTCTTCTTATACTCTGGCTCTGCTCATGACATGTTTGTGTGGTGAACCCAGCTGAGAGGAATACTGATCACTCCGCTGCTGATCGAACCAATGGAGGGGTAAGTACCCGTTTTTCCTTTTTTTTGTGTTTGTTCTGTGTTTGTTTTTCACTGAGCTGCAAAATGCATCACTTTAATTGCGGAATGCGCCTTAAATGAACTCAGCACAGCGGAATCTTCCACTGCCCTCAGCCCTGCAGGCTCAAAACCTACAAAACAACAATTACAATTAGAATATGCATTTCCCAAATAACTAGTCTCTATCTGAGTGTGGAGGAGGTGGAGGGGCTTTTCAGCTTTGCTTTCATCCTGTTGGGTTATTTTCTCTTTCCTATCTGAATGAATGCGCCTCTGTCTCTGAACATGTCCAGGGATTTTCTCAAAGGAAACAGTCCTGAGGTGCCAGCTCCAGATAACAGGCTTCTGAAGAAGAACCAGCTGCTGGACCGGGGCCAATGGGCGAGCAAGTTAGAGTTCATGCTGGCAGTGGCAGGGACCCTGGTCGGGCTGGGAAACCTCTGGAGGTTCCCCTATCTGTGCTACAAGAACGGTGGAGGTGAGCAGGATGTCGACTGCAGAAACATTACACCCACATATGCTTATTATTGTGTGTGTGTGTGTGTGCACTCCAAATGATTGTGATGTCAACAAATGTGGGAAAATAACCTTATAAATAGAGCATGGCTGTGAATTATTATTATTATAAGAGATCTTAGCTATCCTTGAGCAACATGGGGAGGCCAACATGTTTACACAGAAAAAAGAAAAGACATACAGACTGTGCCTCCTTGAACTCTGCAACATTACATCACAGTCATGTTTTCCAGGGCCACAGTCTGTGAACAAACACCGTGTCAGACCAGGATTTTTAATGGTTTTTAAATGAAAATCAATTTCTCCTGCAAATGAGAACCTGTAGCTGAGAACACTGTGTTCAGCTCTTTAACAAACTAAAGCCACAAATAGTCTTTTTTTAAAAAAATAAGACAATAATTGATTAAACTGTGACAATTAAATAACACAAGTATAAATAATAGAATAGATAAATACAGTTGCAACTACAAAAGCTGCTTCTGTTTTTCCACGTTTATTTATAAAATGTATTGATGTATTATTATTTATTAATTTAGTTTTTTTACCAAATTTACTTATTTTGAAATCCATTAATTTACATCTATTCATTAATTTCTTTATATATTTATTCATTCATTTCTTTATATATTTCTACTTTATATATTAATTTCTATATTTATTAATGTATTTCTTCATTATTCATTAATTTTTTTAATGTATTGATTTCTTCTACATTTATTAATTATTTTATTTGCATTTTCCTACATTATTTTTTAAATTTCTTTACATTTGTTTATTCATACTTTTTTTTAAATTTTGTATCCTTCAAGTTGCACAAGGATCCTCTGAACTGGATTAATTATGAGATGTGTTTGAGATGAACCTGCAGACAGTGTTCTGGTTATTCACACTTGGTTTCACTGTTGTGTTTCTCTCAGGTGCATTTCTAGTTCCATATGTCTTGTTTCTGCTCGCTTGTGGTATCCCTATGTTCCTCCTGGAGACGGCCATGGGACAGTTCACGTCCCAGGGGTGCATCACCTGCTGGAGGCACTTCTGCCCCTTGTTTGAAGGTCAGTGTTTTCTACAGAAGTGTATCATGCAACGGAACTAAGACACAAAAGTGAGTCACTGAGTCACTTTTTATAATCAGGCTCGAGTGTATTTGCCCATTATATGCTTGTTTCTCATATAACTCAATATAACAAAAGTCAGTATACTGTTTTAAATTATAGGAAACACCTAATGTCACTACCAGTGATGTAAAAATAGAAAAGCACGAGGAAGCATTGTTCAGAGACACATTGTGCAACTTCACTATTATATCTGCTTTTTTTCACAAACATTCTAAAAACAATGCACCAAACTGCACTGCACACAATCATTTCAGACAATTCTAAGATTTTCAAGGGAGAATGGACTCAGTACAGAAGTGAATGGCTTGTTGTGTCTAGACTGGCTTAATGTAATTTTACATTACCTGATTAGTCTCTATTGGTTGTATTGATTGATAATGCTCTTGCGTTTAGGCCTATCTAACTGACAATGTACATTTATAGGACAACAATGATCTTCAGTACCAGAGGTTTAACAAATTTATTGTTGACCTGAGAACAAAGAGGAAGCTGTACTTCACTGCTGAATCAGCCCTGACAATCGTGTCTTGTGCCTGTTACCACTCACCTGTGGGAAAATCCACACCCTCTATCCCTGAATAAAAAAATCAAGATGGAGAGATGGTGATGGTTGAAATGTCAAACTCTGCTTCAAAACAGCCGTTTACAAATCACATGCAAGCAGATTGAGGACATAATACTTACAAATACATTTAAGATGGTCAGGGGTTTGTTTTTGTTAAACAGATAAGACTGCGGAGGGGGTTATTAAGCATTTATGTGAACAGACATCGTAATGATGGAGAAGTTAAAGGGAGCAGTATCAATGCTTCTGATTACAGCCAACATTTCCTCTATTTATCCTGGAAACCCATGTAACAAAGGGGAAACTTTCACCACACACATGTCTAACTTATTTTACCTGCTGTAAAACGTGGGAAACTAAATTCATTATGCATTTTGCTGTTAATCAACTGTTACAGTTAATCAACTGTATATCTGTGCAGTGATTCATACCATGTGTTTTATCTTGTGTATTATTTGTACTTATTTCCTGGAATGAATGGCAGCCGTGCACAGAGCTGTAAAAAAGGTAAAGCTCTCAACTTCAAAATTGTCAACATGTTATTTACAAGAAAAAACAAGTCAGACAGTTCCAGGAAGGGGGGGGAGGGGGGAAAACCCAGTTCGCTGAAAACTGGCAGAGTCCCGAAGCCATAAATAAGTGTCCGGTTTTACAGTTTGCTGGTGAAGTGAGCAATAGCTGACATACATCTTCAGAGGTTGACGGTATTGTTGACAATACACACTTTGTTTCAAAGTCAAGAAACAGATAGTCCCTGTGGTTATTTTAAATTGAATTACAAAGTAGTAAAACATGTTGTTTTCCTGTTTGTGGGTGTTGGTCATTTTTCAAATTAAACCACGTAAAACTGATTAAGTTACACAGACATCATCACTCCATCCTCCCTAAAGAGCTTAGCAGTAAATACACCATTTAATGGTAGAATTCAAATGAACAAGTTCCTGGTAAGATCCTGATTCGTTGTCCTTTTATTCCATTAAATCACATCTCATTCACCACTAACTACATATGAGTATCAGTACTGGTACAGCATTATGTAAGGTAACATAATTACACTTGTTTGCCATTATATAAAGCAATAGTGTAACTTCAAACAGCTGGAAAATAGTAGTTGCAAGAGTATTTCCAGCTGAAAATGATTACACACATTTTCTATTGAATATTTACGACAGGAAGACGAAAAAAACTAGTTTCCACTTTTTTCATAATAAACTGTCATGTGTTTTTAATAGTTCATGCACAACAGTAGATGTCTGTGGCTCAGAGGTATATGATTAATCAAGCAATAGTTGCTGTAGTAAGTTTTAAGGAGGCTTTTTGATTGGCAGGGTTTGCACACTCTCTCTTATAAATAAGATCAAATCATGTTACCAATCAACCTCGGACATGAAGAAGAGACTCTACACCTTCCGTTTTTTGTTGAAAGCTTAAAGCTTGGTGCCACACTGTGAGCAGGCGTGTCTGTCCCGAGCCAGTTCATACGCCTCAGAACAGCTGGCAACGCTTTGTCCCTTACCGCACTTAAATTGTGCTCACAGCAACGCCCGCTGCACACATGTGGCCCTGATGTTATGAATTGAGCAGTGACACGAACAACAAACTATGACGCAACTGAAATGACAATACTCTTTCTAATAAAACAGTTTTTTATAAATGCTGCAGCATTATTTGTGCCCATCTTCATCAGTCATCAATGTTTCTTCTCTTGTCTCTTTAGGGATCGGGTATGCTACCCAGGTGGTGATTGCATACGCTGCCGTGTCGTACATCGTCATCCAGGCTTGGGCCTTCTTCTACCTCTTCTCATCTTTTAGTGCCGAGGTTCCGTGGGCCAGCTGCAGAAACACCTGGAACACAGGTAGCCATGGAAACAGACACAGAAATGGAACCGTGTGCATGAAAGACATCCGTGTATATGTGTTCTACGTCACATCAGTAGAACGTTTACCTTCACCAAGGCCCAAGAGGCTCTTAGATTTAATAAAGCTGCATCAAAATTCACACACTCATGAATATCAGTTCTCCAAACATGCCAGATTGTTTTTCATCAAAAACCATGAATTATTCTCTGAGAAATCAATGAAAATGTGGAAATGCTCTATTTCACGATATTAAAGAAAAGGGAAAACATATCCAGGAAACACGACACTTTCTAATAAATTGCATTCTTGATTGATGGATAGATTATTGATTAGTTTCACAAAGCCCTGAATCTCACTGACAGAAGGTTAGAGACCTAAAACATCCTAAAGCATACAGCTTTAGTGTTCCAGTGTTATACATTTAAATTATACATACAGAATCATAACTGTCTTTGTGATCAAGGATTTGTTTTATCTACACTTTGTTTAAACAAAATATCACTTTTTTTTTTCTCAGAGTCTTGTGTTGAATTTGATAAAACAAATTTTTCCTCCAACTGGACAGCAAACGCAACAACACCTGCAACAGAATTCTGGGAGTAAGTGCGACTCACACCTGTCCTCTTCTGTAGCCGATCTCAGATTTTCTGCAGGCTCTGACACTGAAGGTGGACTGGCCTCTTGTTGTTTGTCTCTGTCTTTGTCTTTCTGCTTTCTGAAAAGAGAGTCTCTGGAAGCCACTTTTTAATGAGAGCACGTAGAAAGGTCAGTCCCACCAATTCCAGAACATACTTTGTGGGTCACTGGTGAGCTGCATGTCCATGTTGTTTAGCCCATCACAACTCCAATGTAGGCTACGTGCACATTAGGAGCAACGCAGTAGGTCAAGTAGGTTTGTTCAAACTGAAATACAATAACAACTATGAGATGGTTTACCATGAAATTCTGTTCAGACGTTCATGGTCCACAGAGGATGAATCTGTCAAACATTTCATACCTGTTCTTCATAATGCTACCAGCAGATTAAAGTTGTCATATATCTGTGAAATATCTAAACGTCTACTCTGGCAGCAAAGTTCGTACAAATATTCATGGTCATGTGACAGTGAATATCCCTGACTATGCAGTCTACCTCTGACTTTTTCTCTGGCATGGTAAACATATTAGCTGTTTAATATCGGCATGTTTCACCATCACTGTTTCATTATCACCTCGAGCAAGCTGACATTAGTGTATTGCTCAGTACAGCGTCACATAGGTGGCTGATGAACAATTCATTATTTTGCTGGTAAATGAACTAAACATAGTCTTGTAGACAGTTATAAACTGTTACTTCCTGTGTGATACACCCATGCGTGCGTATAAAGATGGACAACACGTCTCTTCTTCATTCCGCTATCCAGAAACAAAGCTAACATATTATGGATACAAGCAAAACAGTGTCAATCAGGGGATCGATATACGTACTCAACTAATTGCGATTCAGTCTCAGCTGTCAATCATGACGTTTCACCTCAACTTTATTGAAACCAAACCTTCACCTCTGGTTGAAAAAGCGCAGCCGAATACATAGACCACACTAACGAAGATGTCAAGAGAGTTTGTGGTGATAAGAGCTTTGGCTGGTGTCGATGACCATGACTGGTGCTTTTGACCAAAACACGTGATCTCGGCAGCAGCATCAATATGTTATCTCCTGCCTGCGTCTGCTGCACCACCCCAGTCTATGGCTGCATCTCAAAGAGTATTTTGCCGATAGATACAGATAAATTTGGCAGATATTGCAACATGCAAAACATTCAGTACACCATGAATGTAGTACAGTCTGTTTCAGACACACAAGAACACCATTTTGACATAAAACACTTCACATCACTGTGGCTCAGCAGGATTATTTTCTTTTGCCCAAAACTAGTGGTCCACGATTCACGAAGGTGACTTTAATGAAGTGAAACTGTTTCAGAAACAGACTGTTTGGCTGAAAATGACATAATATAAACATGAATTGATGATAGCCATAAATGATAAAAGAAACTATGACATTAGTATGAGGGCTGATACAGAATATGTGCACGGCATCACTAATGTTAGTAAGTAGTGTCGAAGTTTTTAGAAAATATCTCACTCAACCCCGCTCATTGAATCTTTACTTCTGCAAGGACAAAAACATTTGTATCTCTAACAGCATGTGATCAGTCACACTAATCATTCATTCTTTACTATCACAATAACCTTCTTAATCATTAGTGGTATTGAATAAACATCCCAGCGTTTATTTCTTCACTATCAGCAGTAATGTTGCATGATAATACTTTTGGCCGTATGTTTGTTTTCAGGAGACGAGTACTGGGTATATCTCAAGGGATTGAGGAGGTTGGTAGCCTGAGGTGGGAGTTGGCCTTGTGTCTCCTGCTGGCGTGGATCCTGTGCTACTTCTGTGTTTGGAAAGGAGTTCGATCCACTGGAAAGGTAAAGTGATGAGGGATTCCTTCAGAAGATGACACTTAAGTTTGTAGATTCACTTTCTTTTCTACCCTATGAAACTGCAGCACCTCTTCCAATACAAGATGTGTGTGTTCTGTTTGTTACAGCATTTATTATCAGATTATAACTTAATGAATCATATTGATGTGCTCTCATTCACTTTGGGAAAGAGACTTAAAAATATTGGCAAGGCTTTTACCACAGAAATTATGTGGTAATCAATTTCCAAATATGTCAAGCCTTCATACAAAAAAGCAGTGAGCTCTTCCTCTCACCAATTTGAATTTATCAAAGCCTAAAGGGACAGATGAGGTTGTGTCTGATAAACACATGAAAAACTAAAGATATAAAGTCTACAATTTCATTGATTATTAAAATAGCTCCAGTTTTTTTTGTTGTCGATTGACTAATTGACAAATAGTAGCTCAACGAATCGAATGACACATCTATACGATTCAAGATTCAAGCTTTAATACTTTATTCCAACATCAACAAGAGTATGAAACACACGAGTAAAGGTCCTTAAAATAATAGAATAATAAATACTAAACTAGCCTAATTTTAAATTTCAAATAAAATGTTAAAATGAATAAAACCTCAACACATGAAATTTATTTAGGGAGCACGTGAAAAATGTTGAGAATATTTGAGTGGATATTTTTGGGAATATGACGTGAAGAACGCAGCAGATCAGACCATGGAGCATTCAGGCGAGAGAGCAGGACATGAATTCCACTTCACAATTTTTTGTTTACAGCAAAGTTTGTGTCTTTTGCATGTGAGAAACATTATCAACACAAGCCTTCGCTCGCTGTGAAGGACTTTCACACATTTGAATAGGTTAGTTCTGGATAATTTCTGGATCAACTGACTCTGCAGGCTGCAGTCTTCCATCTAGAGTGTTTAGGAGGCAGACAGCTTTGGGATAAGCACTATTCTGGAAAGCGATTGTTTCTGTCTTAACATTTTTCAGTTAATTATGAGAGGGGAGAAAATTTATAAGGCAGTTAACTGGATGGGAGGGTTCCTTTAAAGCCGTAGGCATTTCTTTTGTAGTCTGGCCTTGTAGATTTCCTCTAGTGGTGGGAGATTACACCCAGTGGAGCCAAAAACAACAGACGGAATAATAAATAAAGAATTGAGTAACAAAACAAATGCAGATGCCTCCAAACAAAAATGAATGGTAGGTTTGGGTTTTTTGTATTTAATATTCATCTTAAGCAGCTTCAGTTTCCAGAAGTGCTCTCAATGATCTCTACTTAATACTTTATGTTTTGTGTAACTCCGTAAGCAGTTCTGCACTAAAAGCAACAACTTGTCTTTGTCTCCTGTTGACAGGTAGTTTACTTTACAGCCACTTTCCCATACGTGATGTTGGTGGTTCTGTTGGCTCGTGGACTCACTTTACCAGGAGCCGTGAATGGCATAGCTTTCTACCTGTATCCTGACCCTACAAGGTTGGTCGACCCTCAAGTAAGTAACAAATCAGCTATTCAACATAAATACAGAGACGAGCTGCCTCCTCAGTCAGACGTAAAGAAATGTAAAGAAAAACATATATTTATCTGGCTTTTACTAATTCATGTTTCGGTATGTGCTCAGGTTTGGATGGATGCAGGTGCACAAGTTCTCTTCTCTTTTGGCATATGTCAGGGGAGTTTGACTGCTCTGGGAAGTTACAATCAGTATAACAATGATTGTTACAAGTAAGTGCTCTCTGCTTTTGTTCTTTTATTCAGTGTTTGAATTCACTCAGAAAATACACACTTGGCTTGTCCTGATATTCTAGCAATTTATAGATAATCAGATTTTCTTTTCTCTTTTCTATATTTTTTTAAATTGTTGATTGATATGTTATTTAATTGAAAAACAAGTTACATCTGGTGATTATACACTAATACAAACTTAATAATTAATATCATTTTCAGTTTCTGCCCTAAATCCTACACATTGAACATTTTAGAACTTTTAGACATGAGTTAAAAAATAATTCGAAAAAGTTCAATCTACATCCTCAGACAGAAGGAATAAATGAAAGTCACATAGTGATGGTTTTGTTTTGTCTCTTTGTTTCCTCAGAGATACATTTGTTCTTTGTTTGGTGAATGGCATGTCCAGTTTTGTGGCAGGGTTTGCAATCTTTTCCGTTTTGGGATTCATGTCGTATGAACAAGGACTGCCCATATCTGAAGTAGCTGCCTCTGGTAAAAACACTGTTACAGTACACTCAGGGATCATCAGATCCACCCCCTGTTTCTCAGTAGGACTGAAAAATGTTTATTTTGAACTGCTGTACGTTATTGATCCACTCGGTAACTAGTACATATTTATAATTTATCTCACATTTATGCTGCATATTGTGTGAATACTTACTCGTTCATTTCAACTGCATTATCTTCAAAATTTCACTCATTCATTGTATTTTATGTTCTGTTGAATTTCCTAAAATCTGCAATAGCTCAAACGCTCCACAATGTTCACCAGCTACAGTGCAGTTGCCTGCTGTGATCCAAAAACACAGATTAAAAGTGGTGTACCAACCAAAACTGTGAAGTTGTTGCAGATTGTTCTGACCCACTTAGTATAAAAATATGGCCAGTTAAATAAACTACCATTGTATATATCAAATAGCACTACAACATATATAAGAATTTTTTACGTAATTTTACAAGTGGCATGAAATATGAACAATATGTGTCAATACAGGTCCTGGCTTGGCATTTATTGCTTATCCACGTGCAGTAGCCATGATGCCTCTACCTCAGTTGTGGGCTATATGCTTCTTCGTCATGGTCATCTTGTTGGGTGCAGATACACAGGTGAGATAAAAAAAATGAATTTCCGAACTTGAGTCAAAATATGTTTTTCTCTTTCAATAAAGTTTGTTCTTTGGTCTGTGTCTCCGGCAGTTTGTCAGTCTGGAGTGCCTGATGACGTCGGTGACAGACATGTTTCCTACAGTTTTTCGAAGAGCTTATCGTAGGGAGTTGCTGCTCCTTTGTCTCTGCTCTGTGTGCTTCTTTCTCGGCCTCCTCCTCGTCACAGAGGTGAAAGCTCTCATTGTTCTCTCCCAGAAGGTTTCGTGTTTTTTGGCCAGTTCACTGGAAATAAAAGCCGATCAGTGAACTGTCCAAGAACAAATAATGAACTCTCAAAAAAAAAAACCTTTTACAATGAAATGTGTGTTGTTTTTTGTGTTGATGTGCAGTAAACACAGACCCTTTCTCTTCCTGCAGGGGGGCTTGTATTTCCTTCAACTCTTTGACCATTATGTTTGCAGCGGCAACAATCTTCTCCTCCTGTCAGTGTGTCAGTCGATAGCGATTGGATGGATATACGGTGAGTCATTATGGTTATCCTGTGTAAATGTGTTTATACATTTACATCACAGTTATCCTGTGTAAATGTATTTATACAGCACTTTTCTAGTTCAAGGTGCTTTACAGTACAGTTTTTCCATTTACATTTATACAGTGCATCTATGTGCATCACTCACATTGCCTGTACAGCAGTTTTGGGCATATTGGGGTTCAGTGTCTTACTTGGAATGGTAGAGAATGGGATCAAACCACCGACCCTCTCATTAGTGGACGACCCACTCTTCCGAGCCACAGCCTCCCCCTGCATGTGAATAACAAGGTTCCAAATGGTTGGTTTATGGTTAAATGAGATAAGTGTTTGCTGAAAACTAGAGCTTTTTCACTTAATAGCTTAAGTGGCTCATATTCCTTGTGACAAATTATTTGAAAGTCTTTTATCTGTTTTTGGACTGAAGTAAATGTGATTAGCTAATGATGAACAACACGCTTTGTGAAGCACAGATCAGAGCCACAAGATGAAGCGTTCAATTGGTTCGTATCAGTTTGTTCCAGCAATTCTGTACGCCTGAATAGATTTTCCTCTGTTGTGAGCTGACGCAACATGTGAAACATAAACCGGCCTTCTCTGGATAGCACCCTCTGCTGCCAAACCACCTGTTGTGCAGTCCCACTTGACCTGACTTTCCACACTCATGACAGAACAGGTCCCCGGGTACAGACAGATAAAAGCCCCCATCACAGGAGCAGAAAAAGATACACACAGACTAGTGATCTATGATTGTGGCTCACCTCTCCGTCATCATTTTGCGTCTCTCTGTTGTAGTTTATTTACGTGTCTCTCTAATTTCATGGTCTTTTCACATCCCATCTGTTTAGAGTCTTGTAATTTCTGTTGAAATTCAGAATTTCGTAGAAGACGTCATTGAGAAACTTCAGCCCCTCTATAGGGGCTCGCTCGGTCACATATACTCTAATGCAGGCGAATGCCGGGGGTCCGAGTTCACCGAAGTTGAAATCCACATGAAGCCATGCTGTGGATTTGTTTCACCACAGGAAGGGTGAGGGGACCCTAACCCCGTGTTTTATCAACCCTCTCACCAACACATATAGATTTGAACAAGAGGCAGATGTTCGCTACATTTGTTCATGTGAACAGGCCCGAAGGCAGTGGAGCGCTTCTTCTCTTCTTTAGAAGTAAATGGAAAATCTCTTCTTTTTCTGGGTGAAGTCATCACAACCATATGATATTGAAGTCATCGTTATTCTGTAAAGAATGAGCTGATGCAAATATATTTTAACCTTTTCATTGGAAAAGCTTTACACCAACACAAAAGTCTGGGTTAAAAACAGTGAAATGATCACTACACTGTTTCCACATTTTACTATTGGTGTACAAAGAGTTTTTACATACTACTACATGATGTGAATGTTTACCCAGTTTACATTCCTTTATTAGCAACGTGACAAGCACTTCTTCTCACTTATGTGGCACTTTGTCTTCACTTCATTTCCTAAGTTCTATTTTATATCCAGCTTTGTTTGCTCCATCACTCCTGTTTAAGCTTGTTTAAGCCTGATGGACATCAGATCCTCTTGAGGAGTGTGTGGTCTCTTTAGCTCGAAGTCTGACTGTGAATGAAAACAAAAGATCTGTGTGAGCTCCACAGTTTTCCTTTATAAAAACACATGACTCACACTGCCCCCCTCTGGTCAGGAGGGACTTCAATAGGCCTGCTTCCTCACAGGGGTAACAATTGCACTGTGCTCAATCTATTGGTTACCAGGTCTGTCCGTAGTCCAATATACTGTATATTCAGTCAGTCAGACATGGACCCTTCGATACAGTGTCAATAACCAGCTGAACTAAATGTACAAATCATGCTTGTTTGAGTTATAAAAAAAAACCTGTACTGCTATGAAGTACATGTTGTATAATTTAACAGTTTTCCGCTTGTGTTAGTAGCTTTTAATCATTATTCTTCATTTTTGTCTAATTTAAAAAATAGGGAAAACTTTTTAATTGGTGTTTTGAAATAGTAGTTACAAAACTGTATTCTGGGTGACTGCACAGAACACCTTTTCTATTTAAAGAAATTTGAAACTAAAACAGAGTCTTCCCTTTCCTCACAATAAACAGGTGCAGACCGTCTCTATGACAACATTGAAGACATGATTGGCTATCGTCCGTGGCCGCTGATGAAGTATTGCTGGCTTTACGTTACCCCTGGTGTTTGTCTGGTGAGTTACATTTGGTCAGAAGATGAAAAAGATGGTGACTGTTTGCAGAGAGTCTAGTTTGTTCTTGAGTCTTCTGTGCTCCTGCTCCCCTCGGCCTCTTGTCTTCAGTTTCTCCCCTCATCTCTTCAGACCAGTCGTGCTTCATTCACCCACCAGATGTTTTCCTTTTCCTTCCAACAACCTGTCGGTCTCCAATTCCCCTTCACACCCACACCCGCTCTTACTTACCCATCCTGCCTTGCAGTCAACTGTTCTTTTCCTCTCTGCTCCTCAGTTCCCGCCCTTGTGATCGTCTGCACCTGTTCCTCATGTGTCTCACCTGCCTCCCTTGTGTATATAAGTCTCTTTGCCTTTGTTTCCCTCGTCTTTGTAAGTTCGTCATCTTCCATTGTTTCACGTGTCCAGTGTCATCTTGTTTCCTCTGTTTTTTAAGTTTTGTTTCTTCTATCCTAGTTTTTTGGACAGTTTTTATGTTTTGAAACTTGTTTCATTGCAAGACCCCCTTGTTTTATTCAAATACCTTTTGTTTTACTGCCTGAACTTTGCTTCTGCATTTTTGAGTCCAGCTGTACATATCAACTGTCACAGAAATTTTAGACAACCAGCTGTGAAATCATTGGGGGGGTTCACACTTTAAAAACTGTCTACAAAGTGATTTAAGCTTTTTTGTGTTTGCTCTCAGGGCACCTTCATCTTTTCAGTGGTGAAGTACAAACCTCTCAAGTTCAACAAAACCTACACCTACCCGACCTGGGCCTACGCTCTTGGCTGGTTTCTTGGACTTTTTTGCGTTCTCCTGGTTCCACTGTGGATCATCTTCAAACTTACTCAGATGAAAGGAACAATATCTCAGGTATGTGCTTCGGAATTCTTGCTGTGAGATCAGTTTAGAACAATGTGACAGATGTATCTGAGTCTGTTGTGATTTCAGCTGAATTTTTTTCTTAAACAAGCTTTTATTTAGCCCAATTTTTAAGTTGGTAGTGGAGATCTTTTTCTCATTTTCAAATGTTTGTGTGTACTTTCAGTTTCACAGCTTTAATTTGTATTATTTCAACTATTAAGTATTTTGCCTGAGAGCAGATTCTGGTGAAAAGAGAACACAGGAGGAATAAGTCTGCGTGGTGGCAGCTGACCTAGTTTGGTTCCTAAAGGACAGAGTCCTGCACGGCTGTAACAATGGAGCACGTCCAAAATCTCTTTTGTTGAACTATTTTTCCTTTGTCCCCAGGTTTGGATTTAACAATACATTTGTGACAGGATTAAATAGTTAAAGTACAATGAAACTTTGGGTGCCTTAGGTTAAAATGTCTATCCCCTAATATTTAAGTGAGTAAAAGGTGATTCAAATCCCAAAAGGCATGAAGTTAATCTAAGTATAAAGTTGCGTTGAGATTTTAACAAAGATTAGCCCACTTTATTTACATTCTTTAAGAGTTTGAAAAATAACTAATTCAAAAGGGCCAGACACAAGTTTGGAAACTACATGGTCAGCACAAGCTGCCAACTATGAGAGCTTGTGAAGGCTTTAGTAGCAACTAAGAGTCTTTCACTTCATGTTCAGGGGAGTTTGGTTCATTCTTCTCTGTGAGAGGCTTCTAGCTCAGTGAGTTTGTATTCATAGCTCATAGTCCAGGACTGAGGAGTCAGGGAATGTGTAAAGCTTGTTATGGCAGAACAAGCTATTTAAGATCTGAGTCTTTGGTAAAATGATCTGAACTCAAATCTCATGGGGTTCCCAAATGTTTTTATGGTGCTCTTTGCTTTTTTAAAAAATCTAAAATGTTTGTAAAAAACAAAAATATATTTATACTGCAGTCTTTTCCTTCAGTAGTTTGACAGAACATTAATACAAATACATTAAATAATTAAAAAAAACAAACATACTGTATACTTGTGAGTGGGTTCACCCAATAAAATGTAAGACCAGAATGCAATTTCATATTTTTATTATTTTATTCTGATCAATGGATCAGATTAGTGGAAAATAAATAGCAACAAGACCTAAAAGAAAATGAAGAAAATCATTGCAGATTAATCAAGAGCGATCACTTTGATTTTGTCTAAGCAGTTCCCTCCTACACTGCAGAAAATAAAATCCCCTGTCACCACTCACTCAAGCAGAAAATACTCACTGATCTAAACGTGAGAGTAATTTAAATACTGCAACAGTTACAAGTACTGTTGTACAACGTGCAACAAGCTTAAAGTTTTTTAAAGCATTTAAAAGAAATGTTAGTATGTCAACGAGGCCCTTCAGACATAACGTGCTCATCAAGGAGATTTAGCTGCACATACCTCCGTGCTCAACAAACTTACACAACTTGACACTAATGCTTATGATAGTGTGAGAAGTGGTCAGGCCTTTCTTCTGCTGGCATCATTTCAACTTGTGCCTGTGTTACATACAAGCTCATATTTTTCCCACCATTTCATTTGACAGGTAATGGTCTGGATGTCAGACTGCACGTCAACATTTATTAAAAAGAAGGTTGGGCTGCAACTAACAGCAATTTAAATCGATGATTAAGATGCACAATAAGTTTGAGAATTTCAGAAAATAATTAAGTGCAATATTTCAAAGGCTTTGCAGGCTCTTAGGCAAAAGGGACCTCAGGGGGGCCTCATTAAACCAGAGTGCAGACCTCCACCAAGGCCCGACAGCCTCCTTATGAAACCACATTTAAATTCACTAGATCTGGATTTTTACAATGGATATCAGATATTTTCCTTATGAATATAAGTTCCCTGAACATGCACTTTTTTATTAAGATCATGAATTATTCTCTGAGAAATTAATGAAAATGTGAAAGAAAGTAGAAAAAACAATCCTGGATCCAAACAAAATGCAATGGTTTCTTCCTTTTGTCATGCTCCCCCTTTTTGGATGGATAGATTGGAGATGAATGGATCCATTGTGATTTGGTTGTTGTATGACGCTGTTTCCGCAGAATTTCATGCAGCTTTGCCGTCCTGAAAACAAGACACAAAACACAGAGAACCAGCCTGAGCAATGTCCTCTGAACCCAGACAACACGCTGACTCCTGCTGCCAACGAATACAAGGGAAGTGGTGGATCTGAGATGGAGATGCAAGTGTGAGGCACTGAACCTTTTTAGATGTTTTATATGTGGTGTTTTATTATAAAGTCTAAGTTTTACAAAGCTATGCATTGCTAAGAAATAATAGAGAGCAATAAATTCTGCACAATCAGTAAGGATTCATGTGTCACTGTCGTAGACGCACAAACAGAAGTGAGAGTTTTATAAAGTGTTTAAATCTATTTTAATTTAAGCAAACCTTTGTATGATTAAACTAAATCACCATTTTTATGTCAGGATCAGGACGTCTGTCCTCAAATTCACTGTCCACAATGAGTCACATTTCATTCATGCGTTCTTTCACTTCCTGTCTGCCTTTACTAACTCTCCCGTTGTTTCAGAGCCCCCCCCACCCCCCTCGGCAGCAACTCGGGCACGTTTCGGCCACCCGATCCTCCCCTATTGTTCTAACTTCCACCTCCCCACCTGTTCCCCTAATCAGCTCTTATTATTTATACAGACCTTGCCACTCATTTCCTTTCAGATTGCCTAATGTGGTTTGCGGTTGTCTTGCTTTTCTTTACCTGCATGTTTTGTCATTTTCCTGGTTTACCTGCCTGCCCTCTGACTTGGCCAAAGTTTGCCAATGTCGATTTCCGCCTGCAGAGCCTTAATAAAGGTGAAATGTTTTGAACTTCTACCAGTGTCTTTGAGTTATGCTACTGAGTTCTCTTAAACGTGAGCCATGACTCTCAAGGCCTCGGTCACACAACATGAGTTTAGCTCTGATTTTCCACTTGCAGACAGTGTTTGGAGATTTTGTGCTGGCGAATCAGCACTCAGTATTGGCGGCCTTAAAAAAAAAAATGCAACTTGAGACTCGCCAATGCATCACACTGACAGGTGTGGCAACATGAAGTGCACTTTATTTACCTGGATAGAGCCTTAAACTTGCTGCGTCTCAGATCAGATACTTCAATCAGTACACATGTAAAACACAGTTGGATGGCATAGTGTTTGAATTCTGGTGGTTCCACAAAGTTGGCTGCCATTGAGAGAAAGTAGTGTCTTTAGTTTTACACTCAACTTTTAACCACTTTGAGGAACTCTGTGTGCACTTCATGTCATACTTCTCAGTGTAACTCTAAATATCAAGTGAGTGTGGAACTCATGTTTAAAGACAAAGATTTAACATTGATGTCAAACATTTTCTGTTTGTGATTACACACTCTGAATATCTGAGAAGAACTTTCAATTGTCCCAAAGAGTGAGATATATGAATTATCATATGATAGTGAGTATAAGTTTGGAGTTATAATGAAGGAAGGATGAAAAAGGGAAATGAAGTACAACCACCTGATTATTTTGGCTAAAGAATTTATCCACAGATAAGACAAATAAAAAGTATACACAAAAGTATGTTAATGCCAGACAACTGTTCTCAGTCTTCATGTTTTAAAGATGCTCTGAAATGTAATAAATCAAACAAGCTTTGGTTATTTACAAAAACACATGGTATATTTCTATTTAGATCTGACTCTTGTCTTCTCTTAGTTTTACGTATCTGTTTTCAGTCTCTGATTTGTACTGTTTGTTGTTGCCAATTTGATAAAGTATTGTCAGAGTTTGTGTATACAATAAAAAGATAATTTAGATTTTTTTAAAAAGCACTTTCTGTGTCACATCTCGTGTGTTGTGTCTGGGATTCCTCCTGTCTCCTGATCCCATGTTGTTGATCACTAATTACAAATAAGTACAAAATGGGTAGTTTGACCAATACAGTAATCTGTTGTCTTTAAAAGTCATGTAGTCTTTATGGTACTTGGTAAAGGCACTATTTATTTTGAGCTTTTCCAGTCTTATCTACAACTTTCCACAAATTTTAACAGCACTTTTTAGTATAGTAACCTTAACCTGTCACGCACTAATTCATATGCTAAATTGCTAATTCTGTTAGCACAGCTGTAAGGGATAATTTGGGGTTTAGAATCAGAGAGAGAGGCGAGAGAGACCGGGATAACTTGAGCACCACCAGGTACCAGCTCTGACTAGTTATAATGAAAACAATATCAGTGTAAAGAAGTAATTCATTATTATTGATAGCAGCAACAATTCATATAATAATTAATTACTCATAAGTATTGTTAATAATAGTTATCCTGCAATTCTGCAGTCAGAGATACCTGCAATGAGAAAGAGATAGAGGGACTATGGGAGGAAGAAGAAACATAGTTATTGACTCCTTCTAGTTCCTGTCAGCACTTGTGCTTAGAAGTAAGAAGTTTTGGGTCATCCAGGCCTTGATGTTCTTGAGACATTCCTGAAGTCGAAGTGAATGATTAGATTCATCATGCTTCTGAGAAATGTACAGCTGGAATGTGTACGTGGTGCTTTCTGATGATGTTGCCTAAGGGGAGCATAAATCAGTCCAAGGACAGAACCCTGTAGAACTCCATGACTAATTTGTATGTGCATGGAGGGGTCATTGTTGACATTACCAAAATGAAATCTGAGAAATATGATTCAAACCAGTCTAGTATCGTTCCTTTGATCCCTACATGTTGTTCTATTCTCTGCAGCAGAATCTTAAGCTCCAACAGGATGAGTATAGAGACAAGTTCTTCATCTGAGGCCATGAAAAGGTCATTAGTGACTGTTAATAGTGCTGTTTCTGTGCTGTACTGAAAGTTTTCCAACAAACCATTACTGTCAAGTAGTCAGACAGCTGGTTAGCAACAGCTTTTTCTAGGATTTTTGAAATGAGAGGCAGGTTTGATATGGGTCTATAATTAGCTAAAACCTCTGGGGATCTTTTTAAGCAGAGGTTTAATTACAGCTACATTAAAGCTTGTGGTACATAGCCAGTTAACAAAGACACAATAATCTGATTTAATATGGAGCTGTCACTCAGGGGGAAATCTTCCTTTATTAAGTCTAGTTGGGACAGGGTCTAACTGACAAGTTGTTGGTTTAGATGATGAAACTAATAAGGTCAGTTCAGGAAGATCAATAGAAGAAAAGTGGTTCAAATATAATTCTGGTGCTTCAGGTGGTTGGAGGAGGTGGTGGAGTTCTTCCCTGATGGTTATAATTGTATTTGTGAAGAAGTTCATGAAATCATTGCTTCTTATGGTTAGAGGGATAGATGGGTCAGTAGAGGTGTGACTGTCTGTCAGCCTGGCTACAGCCTGAAGAGGAACCTGGGGTTGTTCTTATTTTCTTCTATTTATAATGAATAATAACAGGTTTTGGCATTTCTGAGTGCTTTCTTGTAATTTATCAGGCTAGGTGAAAGTCATATTGATTGGTGGAACGCCACTTCTTCTCTAGCTTCCGTGATGTCTGTTTTAAAACACATGTTTGAGAATTATACCATGGAGCTAATTTACTTTCTTTTTTTTAATCAAGGGTTGTTTTTAATGAGGCTGCTGTACTATTTACAAAGTTTTCAACTAGTGTGGGAGTAAAGTTTTGATGACTTTCCTGCATTGTACTGACACATGACTGAGAGTTAAGTGTAGAAGGAAGCAGCTCTTTAATTTGTTCCCAGTTTTATCAGATAAACACAGATTATAATAGAATTTCTGTCTAGAATCAGTGTAGTCAATAATTCTAAATTCAAATGTAATTAAAAAATGGTCAGACAGAAGAGGGTGTTGTGGGAATATTATTACATGTTCAATGTCTATGCCATATGTCAGAACAAGATCAAGAGTGGGTTTATACACATGTTGAGTGAAACCAGTTGAGTCTGTTATTGAGTTGAAAGCTGAACTAAGGCTGTCGTTGGCAACATCTACATGAATGTTGAAATCACCTACTATAATGATTTTATCTGTCCTAAGAACTAGTTCTGATAGAACTTCAGAGAATTCAGATCAAAAATCAGAGTAAGGGGCAGGCGGATGATACAGTATATGATAACTAGATGAATTGGTTTATGTGATTTCAGGCTTGGATGGATGAGGCTGATTCTAAGATTTTCAAACGAGTTATAACTTTCTTTCGGTCGAGGGTTGATAGATAAGTCAGATTTAGAGATTGCTGCAACCCCTCCACCTCTGCCTGTGCATAATACATAATATATGACATAATATCATGGAGCATGTCATTTAGAAAATAACAGTAAAATATGCAAAAAATAAGTAACCATTATTGTTTTATGCAGGGCATATTTAAACCTGCACAGTCATAATCTTTAAATGTCTTCTCATATGAATTATGTGCCATACTGTAATTACTGACAAGAACACCTGATTCAAAAGCTGACAGTTGCACTGTGTTGAATGAGTGTTCCCTCAGGTACAGCAGGATATTGGGCTGTCATTCTCCCTGAAGTGTGAAACTGTCACTCTACTACTTGAGTTGGCATTACTTTTCCTCATGCACGTATGACATGAAATGATAAATACGTGGCCCATTATACTCCCATCCATCATCTTACCATCTCTGCGTGCCTATCTCTCCCATGTTCTTCCTTGTCTGTAGCTCTATGGGTTTTGACTTTTATAATTCAAATGCAATTTTAATGTCTTCTTATTGTTCTATTTCAAATGTTAATATTATCATCTCTAAAGCACTTTGTACAGCCTTGTTTTTAGTGTCTTTTAATGTAATTTTAATGTATTTTTTATGTATAACCATGCCTTTGTAAAGCACTTTGCATTCCTTTGTTTTCAGTGTCTTATGGATGTAATTTTAATGTGATTTGAATCCCCGAATAGAGCTGGTTATCACCACTGACTTCCCAAATTGGTTCGATTTGGATTTGCAAGGTCTCGATTTCGAATCGATTTGATTTTAGATTTGATTCAACATTGATGCTGTTACGGACATTTCAGTTACAATATCAATTTCGCTTGGACATGAAAGATATTCTCAAAGAACCAAAGCTCCACAACTGAAACAATGTAGGGTCACCAAAATCAACACAAACATAGATGGTCTCCTCTTGGTCAGACTACAACCTTCACTATAGAAAAATGTATTTATGCATAAATAATGATCAGTGTACGGTCAACAAAATTACTTCTCACATAGTTGGTCTTCACATGGTCAGATTACAA